CATCACCAAAATACAGAATACACCTTTCGAACCTCGTTCATGGAATCACAAGCCGGCGATGCACATCTGATACCGAGCGCTAACATGCGCACGCGAATGCGTAGAAGGAATTCAAAGAGTTATGTTTCAAGCTGAATCAATTCTGCACGATAGAATACAAGAGAGTGAAATTTTCCTAAGGGTTCGACAACCTCTCAAATATAAGTACAGACGTCTCCGTACCAATCCGCAAGACTCTACTAAACCTGCTCATGACTCGTGAGACCTATGTTACCTAGAGCTCTGATACCAATTTGTCACGACACAAAACCTAACCCGTCGTGATGGCACCTATCTCAATACTAGGCAAGCCGACAATCTCAATAAACCACATATCTTTTAAATTTGAAAACATAATGATTAAATTCAGTGGAAGAAATCTCACAAGTACAAATATAAATACTGCCAAAAGCCGGTGTCACTTAGTACATGAGCATCTAAATTGAATACAAAGTCTGACAGATAAAATCACTGTCTGAAAATATAGAACAGTACAATAATTAAACAGGAAGGGAATCATGTATGCGGGCATCAAGCAACTACCTTGATAGTCCCCAACAGAATTAACTTCAAAATCTAGCAGCCGCCGTATCCGGGAGCACCTGGATCTGCACACGAGGTGCAGAGTATAGTATGAGTACAACTAACTCAATAAGTAACAAGACTAACCTCTGGGCTGAAAGCAATGACGAGCTCCGTAGGTACAGTCCAGTATAAATAATGGTACAAAAATGTAGGCATGCTTTTAAGTTTAACAGTTAAACTCAGTACAAGTGAAATAGATCAATACTGCATGATATGAGGTATATGACGTCTCAGTAGAAAGACCTCATGTAAATACTGGTCACAAATTATTCGGTCACTCGGTACATTTTATGGCCAATCCAGCCCAGGGGTGTTCCAACCCATATATTAATACACATCGACTGACAGTCAGTCACTCAGTACCGTATAAGGCCAATTCAGCCCTGGGGTAATTTATCCCCAAATGTAAATGATATGGACAAGATCCATATCCAAGTAAATTTATTATAATATAAATAACTAAGGCAAGTCCATGCCCTGGAAAATTCATCCCGAATATGTATAATGATCTACGCTCACTGGGGGGTGTGTACAGACTCCGGATGGGCTCCTTCAGCCTAAGCGTAATATAAAGCCGATATGGCTTACTGCAGGCGGGTAGTCCTGATCCGTATAATAAATAAGCCTATAAGGCTTGTTGCAGGTGGGCAGCCCCGATCCATATAATAATAAAGCCAACAAGGCCTGGCAAACTCGATTCATATAATAATAAAGCCAACAAGGCCTGCTGCAGGCGGGCAGCCCCGATCCATATAATAAATATCTTTACAATGGATGAGTATGACTGAGTATGAAATGTATATTTTAAAACAATTAATTTAACAGCAACACGACCCCATGGGTCCCAAAATATCGGCACGTAGCCTAAACATGATCTTTAATAAGAGGCCCAACTCAATTTCTCTAACACGTGGGAAATGTTCAAATAATAACATGATTCTTTAATTTATATAACTTCACAGAATTTATTCAAGTCACAATTTCAATGGTGCACGTCCACACGCTCGTCAACTATCGTGTGCGTCACCTCCAGACAATTTATATAACACCAATTCAGGGATTCATACCCTCAGAACCAAGTTTAGAAGTGTTACTTACCTTAACATGACGAACCCAACGTCGAGCAAGCTAATTAGTACTCAGGAAATTCCATTCCTTGCGTATCCACCTCTGAATGCCTTCTTGTCTCCTCAATTCAATGCCAACGATCCGAAACTGAAATTTACCCCTTAATGATACTAAACGATCTACTATATTAAGCAACTTCAATATACAATATCAACATCCAATGGGACCAACATTAGTAACCAATTCCATAGTTTAAGCCATTTAGACAATTTACCAAACACCTAGTGGGCATACATTTATACATTTCTTAACCATAGAATTAGTTCTTCCAACTACCATCATTTACCAACAATTCATCCCACCATCATTCTTTAACAACTTATAATCCTAACATCACGTGTGTGACCAACTATTCTCACCCAACCAACAAAATTCCATCAAATAATCACCTTTCAATCTCTACAATGGTTAAGTATTTAAATTGAGAATTTATGGCTTCCAATCACTATACCATAAGTTTCAATACTTGATTCATACTCATATTTCCATAATAAATCCATACATGTACACATAATACTCTCACACCGAAGAATCATACTTCTTATGGCCTACTTTTAATCCAAATCCCGAAATTAAAAACTAGGGCATGGAACCATACCTCTTTGATGAAGATCTTGTGATTAGCTTTCTGGATTCTTGAAGATTGGTGCAAGATTGGATGATTAGAATGTTAGGTTTACTCCTTCTCACTCTAAAATGCTCTTATATCTCTCTAAAACATCAGGTTTTACCTCAAAAATGACTTAACCCATTTCTCTACATGGCCTTGGGGTTATTTAATGGGTTCCTACGTGCGTGGCCGCACACCTGGGCAAGTGGCCGCGCATTTGGCCGCTCACCTGAGGCAGAAACTCTCAAATATGCGCGGCCGCACATCTGGGTTCGCATATGACACAGGTCCAGTAAAATGGCCATAACTTTCTATATACATATCCAAATGACAAACGGTTCAATGTGTTGGAAATTAGACTCAAAGGGATTTGATTGGATAGGTTATACAGCATATAAATCTTCATATCGTGAGAGTTATGCTTGTTTGAATTTAGGTCTTATGCAAACTCACTTGAAACTTTATCCCATCATATATTTTTTAACTTGACTTAGTCTTAGGGCTCTTCTTAGACCACAAACCATTCTTAATGCACCCCATATATATATTATTATGATCAATTAATATTATTCAAATTATCAGTCTTGTTCATACCCGAATTAATATAATTAGCACCCGCCAATTTTCTTAATGGTGATGATCCAGAATTGCATAATAAATTTGAGGAAGGTGATGATCAAGGCAAGGAGAAGGCAGTGGTGGTGCGTAGTGATGTAGTTGGGACTGCTGCTAATACTTCTAAGGTGTTGTTGAGTGGAAAAGTGCTGGAAAAACCTATCCCTAATCCAGCAAAGCAAGAATCGATGCAAAGGAGGAATAATAGATATCAAAGAGACAAAAATGGCCACATTATTGAAGCTGCTAGTGAGAAAGAAGGTGACAAATTGAAAGGAAAAGCCAAAGAAGATGGAGTTGCGACTAAGAATTCTTTTGATGTTTTGGAAGTTGAAGAATCAGACAAGACAATTTTGAGGATCACTGAAGGCAAGGGTGAAGAAAATAGCAAGGACAAAAGGCAAGAAAAAGACAAGGATCAAGCTAAAAAGGGCAGGAGAAGGTAAATTTGAAGAATTTCAGAAATCCTAATCCTATTCCTATAGGTAGTGGGAGTAGGGCATCTGGGAAGGAAGGAATCCCAAATTCTAAGGGAGAAGGGATTAATCAACTACAAGACCTAATACACATGAAGAAAGAAGTTGTGGAAAAAGTTCTTGAAAAGGAAAAGAGTGGGAATCATTCTCCTACTCATACAGGGAAAGGAACTAAAGCAACTATAAAAGGAGCTGGAGATGGAATTATCAATGGATTGAATGGTTCAGCTCCTAGCCCTACTGGCAATGGGGGTAGTGAAGAAATTATGAAGGAAAGAACAGTGGATTGGGTGACAAGAAGGTTCATTGCAGCTCGTGAAGACATTCTTGTCACTACTAATTATTCATGTCAAGAAATTCCTACGCAAACAGTTGGTGATAGCTCATAAGGTTTGGCAACTTCTGAGACCCTAACTGATGCAAGGAAGGCTTGGTGTGACAAAGTTGAGGAAGTGGAGAACACAATTGTAGGAGAGTTGAATGACAAAAGCAATGCTCAAGCTAAAAATTTGCAAGAACTAAAAGAGGGTGGTTTGGAAATCCTAGCTACAGTAAACCCTAACCCTAACTGCCCAAAAATTAGGGTTGAGGGTAGCTCGAGTTTTAAGGTTAAGCAATCAAAGCCATCAATTGGAGGTGATAGAGGATCATCAAAGGAAGCTGGAAAGCAAGGTGGATCAACTCAATTAACATTGAGCAAGAAGAAAGGCAATGGAACAGTAAACCCTAGCAAAACGGGGGAGGTTTTGGCCTTTGTTGATGGTGTTCCAGTGAATGCATTGGAGAAGGGACTTGATGAGAATGTTAATATGAAGGTTAGGGATGATACAATGGGGTCAGACCAAAAAACAGACAATGGGAAGGGTAGTGATCTTATGAATAGTGTTTTCTGGGCAGACTGCTACAATATTTCCTGGATGAGGCAATGTTTATGAACTTCAATTTAAAATGATGCATGACGCTGATTCTTCAATAGAACATAACAAGGGGATTGAAGAGCTAGATGAACAGGTTAAGGAACAATTTGAGCAAGCAATTGTCCCTAGATCAGCTGGGGAAGTAGAGGCAGTTCCAGTGGCTTGTGAATCTGGCACTAATCAGATCATGAAGTTACAAGTTAATGTCCCATTGAAGTCTCCTTTGCAGACCTTACATGATATAGTCACACATAATATTGCACCAGTGAAAGAAGAGTTAATGAAGCAGCAACCATTAGAGGAAGAAGGAGATGATGAATCAACTGCTGGCAATTTTAAACAAGTCATGAGGGAGGCAGATGTATCACCTAAAGCTAGTGAAAAGGGAAGAAAGAAGACAAAGAAACAAATCAAAGAACCTCAGCTACCTTTAAAAACCATGCCCAGGAGGGAACTTTCTCAATCCAAATGATGATCAAGACACTCATATGGAATATTAGGTCTGTGAACACTCAGGATGCCTTTCCTAGATTGATCAACATGCATAGGGAGCACAATTTCTTTGTCATTGCATTGATGGAACCTTTTCAAAAGAAAGGATTCATTCAAAGATATAGAAGGAGGTTGAACATGGAGACTGCCTACTCAAACATTAATGGGCAAATATGGTTGTTCTTTGATGCTGTGGTGGAATGGGAACTAATTGAGGATACTGAACAACAAGTAACTGTGAAGGTGTTTCACCATGACCTAGGGCAGCACATGATGATGACATTTGTTTATGCAAAATATTCAGCCTTAGAGAGGTTGGAATTGTGGGAGCTTTTGTATTACTTAGCTAGTGATATGGAGATGCCTTGGCTTGTAGGAGGGGATTTTAATATGGTGGTACATGAAGATGAGAAGATAGGGGGATTGCCAGCACACCCTCCCGAGTATGAGGATTTTGCCTTCTGTGTTAACTCATGTGGATTGTTTGATCAAGGGTACAAAGGGAGTCCATTTACATGGTGGAATGTGAGACCAAATGTTGAGTGCATATTCAAGAGATTGGATAGGATCTTTATGAATTTTCCATTCCAAAACATGCTGCCAACTATAGAAGTGGAACACTTAATTAGAACTGGATCAGATCATGCACCTTTGTTCATGACATGTGGGGAGCAGACTGCCAACTTTGTCAAGCCATTCAGGTTCTTGAATTTATAGGCCAAGCAAGATACATTCATGGAAGTGGTGAAGCAGAATTGGGAAGCTGATTTTATTGTTGACTCCTTTTTGATGTTCAAGCAAAAGCTCAAGAAGGTGAAGGCAGCTCTATCAAAATGGAGTAGGGAAACATTTGGTGATATCTTCAAGCAGTTGGCTATCTTGGAAGACATTGTTAGGGTGAAGGAGATGTTGTTTGAGGAGGAGCCTACAATAGAGAATAGGATTGTTCTTCAAAGAGCTCAATCTGAATTGAAGAAGTACTTGAGTATTGAAGAGCAATATTGGAAGCAAAAAGCTGGGATGACATGGTTTGCTGAGGGTGATAGGAATACTAGTTTCTTCTACAATCATGTCAATGGAAAGAGGAAGAAGCTACAATTGAAGAGGATTCATACTGGAAATGGGTTGTGGATTGAAGATCAAGAGCACTTGGCTAGTGCTGCAGTGGACTTCTATCAAAAGCAGTTCACAAATGAAGGAGACACTATTGATTTCTCATTGCTAAACAATGTACCTGTTATGGTGACTTTTGAGCAGAATGTGGAGTTGAGTAGATTGCCAACACTTGAAGAAGTTAAGGCAGCAGTATTTGAGCTTAGTGGGGAGAGTGTCAGTGGTCCCGATGGATTTACGGGCCTATTTTATCAAGCATGCTGGGATGTTATTGGTGTTGACATACACAACATGGTACTACACTTCTATGGAGGAGTTGCATTGCCTAAGTCTATCACTCATACTAACCTAGTCTTGATTCCAAAGAAGCCTAGAGTGGAGACATTTTCAGACTTAAGAGCTATTAGTTTGAGTAACTTCATCAATAAAGTCCTGTCTAGAGTGTTACATGATAGATTGGAGAGAATTTTGCCTTCATTAATATCTCCAAATCAATCTGGATTTGTGAAAGGGAGGAGTATGTTTGAGAATATCTTACTCACTCAAGAGATTGTAACTGATATAAGGTTGAGAGGCAAGCCAGCAAATGTGGTTATTAAGCTTGATATGGATAAGGCCTATGATAGGGTTTCATGGAAATACTTGTTACATATTCTAAGGAAGATGGGAGTTTCAGAACATTTCATCAACATGGTGTGGAATTTGGTGCCAAATAATTGGTATTCAGTGATGGTGAATAGCCAGTCTTCAGGATTTTTCAAGTCTACGAGGGGTGTGAAGCAAGGTGATCCATTATCTCCAGCCTTGTTCATATTGTCAGCTGAGGTACTCTCCAGATCATTGAACAAGCTATTTGAAGAAAAAGCTTTTGGAGGATTTGGGATGCCTAAGTGGTCTGATTCTCTAAACCACTTGGCATATGCTGATGATACCATTATATTTGCATCTGCTCACCCTCCATCCTTGAACAAGATTATGGTAGTGTTGGGGAGCTATGAGAAGGTGTCAGGCCAGATGATCAATAAAGCCAAGAGCTCATACTATATGCATGCTAAGGTAGCTAATGGACTATTTCAGGCAGTAGGTGATATTACTGGATTTGCAAGAGGTAAATTCCCCTTTACATACCTAGGTTGTCCTATTTTATATACTAGAAGGAGGAAGGAATATGATGATGATCTTATTAAGAAAGTTAAAGCTAAACTACACTCATGGAAAGGCAAGCTGCTCTCATTTGGAGGAAAAGCAACACTTATATCTAGTGTGTTGCAAAGTATGCCAGTTCATATGCTTTCAGTACTTGATCCACCAAATAACATTCTGGAGCATCTTCATAAGCTCTTTGCCAGATTCTTTTGGAGTACAAAGGAAGAAGGTAGGAGCATGCACTGGTCTTCTTGGCAGAATCTTTGTTTACCTAAGGAAGAGGGGGCCTAGGTTTTAGGTCCCTTCATGATGTTTCAAGGGCATTGTTTGCAAAGCTATGGTGGAAGTTTAGGACTACAAAGTCTTTGTGGTCCAATTTCATGTGGAACAAGTATTGCAAGAAGGAATTACCTACAGTTGTGCAATTTCGAGAGGGATCTCATGTTTGGAGACAAATGTTGAATGCTAGGGAAGATGTTGAACATGAGATTCTATGGGAAATGAAGAGAGGAACAACAAACATATGGCATGAAAACTGGACTGGATTAGGAGCTTTATATCATGTACTACCTGAAGATTTTCCAATCAATGAGGACCTTCAAGAAGTGGCAGAATTGAGGCAAGGAGAAGCATGGAATGATCAGTTGCTTGACCAAAGTTTCACTGAAGATATTACTGATCATATTAGGTCCAATGTGCACTATGAGGGCAGTGAGGAATACTGGGATAGACCTTACTGGATGCCAACTCCTTCAGGCAAGTTCAGTATTAGCAGTGCTTGGCAAATACTAAGGCATAGGGCTGATCCTAATCAGGAGTTTAAGCTAATGTTGATAAAAGGTGTGCCATTCAAGATATCATTCTTCTTGTGGAGGCAGAAAATAGCCACTGATGATATGTGAAAGAGGCAAGGGAAAATGGTGATGTCTAGATGTTGGTGTTGTTAGCAGCCTCAAGAGGAGACTATAGAGCACATATTTGTAACTAGTCCTACTGCCTCAAAGGTGTGGAAGATATTCATGGGAGCTGCTGGAATCAATGTGCCTTTGAAGTTGAAACAAGTTATAAGACATTGGTGGAATGCACAATTTTGTCCAACGTTGAAGCCATTGTACCAGGCAGTTCCATCTATCATCACTTGGGAGCTATGGAAGAAAAGAAATGTAGGCAAACATGGAGGTTCAGTGTCCAAAGATAGGGTGATTCGTGAAGTAAATAGGACACTGCATCAATTGGCAAGGGTGAGGTATGCTTGGCTGTCTAATATTCCATTGCTATGGCCAGATATAATCCAGTTCTTTGAAGGTTACAAACTTATACTGATCACAAGAAGAGTAACATGGCAGCTTCCTCATTATGGTTGGTACAAATGCAATACTGATGGGGCTTCAAAGGAAAACCCTGGTCCTAGTTCCCTAGGCTTTTGTGTGAGGAATGATGAAGGGAATTTGGTGTATGCTAGGGAAGTGGACTTGGGGGTGACTACAAATGTGGTAGCTCTAAGGCAATAGTTCAAGGATTAAAATATTGTGTGGAGAATGAGCTCCATCCTTTCATCTTAGAGACAGATTCATTGGTGATGAAGAAGGTGATTGAAGGGGGATGGGATCCTCCATGGGCCATTGTTCCGGATGTGCAAAAGATTAAGGACATGAGGGACAACTTCAATGTGATCTTTCAGCATGTGTTCAGAGAAGGCAACACAGTGGCAGATTTTATTGCTTACATTGTTTTTTCTTTTGCAGGTACAACTGAGTTTCATTCTTTTTCTGAACTACCTAGTGCAGGGAGGAGGCTGATCAATCTAGACAAATCTCAAACTCCTAATCTTAGGGTTAGGATTGCTAAGAGAAGAGCCTCAGACTGATGACTACACATGGTTTGATTTTGCACTTGCCTGCTTGTCTTTTTTACTTTGTTTTTTGTATGCTAGTAGGGTGTTATCCAGTGGTATTAGCATGGTTACATGCTCATTCTGGAGGTGCTCTAATGGTATATAGGAGCTTTCACTTAAGCAGGTTCTTGATAGTGTAGTGTCTTCTACTTCAAAATTGTCCAAATATTACTCATGAGCTTAAGGACATAGTTTACATAGTTTATTGTTACCTTAATGGTTTCTATGGTCTTGAAAATGTTCTACATAAAAGTTGGGATCCAACGACTTCATCAGGATGTATTGTATATGTGTGTATTGCAAGGTTGGTATCCAGTGTTATTGGTGTGTTTACATGCCCAATCTGGAGACATAATGGCAGTACACATAGCTTATCTGAATTGAAGTCATGGTTCATATGTTATGGAAAGTTTTGGCAGCACTTTGGTATCATTAGGATCTGCATCTCTTGGAACAAAGAATTGTTGGATTCATTGATCACGCAGTTTACAGCCTTTTTGGAGAGTTGGTCATTCCTAGTAGATGGTGTTGGTTGGAGATTCATGTTTTCCTTGTCCTTTGGAAAGCAAAACTTGGCACCTGGTGAGAGCATTAGAGGTGCTACATTGAGGTTTTGGACTTGGCTTCTGGATCCACACTACATCTCATGTGGGGAGCCGACTGATTCATTATGTGTAATAGTTAGCTTATTTCATTATATTAGCTATAGCATTAGTTCTAGCTTAGCATTTTTGAGGTTGGTGTTGCTAAATTGTAAACATTGGATCCTTGTTTTTATTTATTTATATATTAGCCACTAGGCAGCCTGCCTAGTGGTATATTTGCTAAAAAAAGTTCTCGGTCTATACAACAATATAAGGAATAAGAGATACCACACAAATGGAACGGCATCACCCTTCATGCTTTTACTCTCATCCTCACAAGCACATAATCACTCTTTGTGAACAATCACTCTTCCTCACTAGTATGGAAACACCTTTCGTGCAATTCACTCTTTCTCACCAAGCATAAACATGTAAAGCAGTGCTAAGCAAGGTTGCACAAACAATATCTAGAAGAGTGACTGAACATAGCTTGTCATATAGGAAATAATCATCACTTTGCACCAATAGCCAAATCAATATTTCAATAGACGTACTACCCAATATCACAACAAGCTCAACACGAGTACTAACATGAATGAAAATAGTCAAAAGAGTCTTACATTCTATTTAAAGCGTGATAGACATAATACATGAAGTAACAAGATGTAAATAACTAGTTCTAGCCGCATGCTCAACCCATAGCAACTCTTACACTCGTCACCTTACATATACATCGCTCCCAACATAATAACACATAATAATTAGACATAATTGCATCCTAATTCTTTTAAATCAAGGTTAACCAGGACACTTACCTCTTTTTGACACAAACAACCATCCAACACTGCTTTTCCTTTAGCATAAGCCTCCAAACCACTCGAATCTAGCCAATTAATACTCAAATAAGTCAAAACAAGCTTTAGAAACTACCCTAGTATAAAAAATGTTTGATCTTTGACATATTTGAAAAAGTCAGCAAA